GAGCCGGCCTGGCACATGCTTGCCATGAGAAACCAGCCTCACACCAAYCAGTGCTGCAGTCTGCAAGGGAGCAGCTTACGGGAATCTCTCCGGCCAGTGTGTGGAGGCTTTTCCCTACAGACTTTGCTCCAGATGGAGCAACTCCACTCTCAGTCTTGTTAGACGGCACAGCGCTGTGCTAGCTCAGCCGGGCTCACACGCAGCAGGCAGTGCATGAATACGAGAGCACCACTGCCCTTCAGCCTCCTTCCCTTCCCTTCCCACCCCATGGTGAGTCAAGACAGAAGCACTTCCCAGCATATAAATAACCAGGTTTTTAGGTTTACATTGCAGCATAGGACATGCTGCTCCCGGTGAAGGAAGCCAGAGATAGCACCTCGGATGTCAAAGCCTGTGCCCCCTGCCCGCTTTCCCACGGAGGAGGAGGAAGAGGAGGCGGAGGAGGCAGGGAGAGGAGGAGCGGCGCGGGTGGGTGCTCACCTTGCCGGGGCTGCCGCGGGCRGCGGGGCAGGGCTGGGCGCCGCCGTAGCTCCAGCCCGTCTCCGGCACCACGTCGGGGGGCTGCTGCCGGCTCTGGCGCGACACGAGGAAGTGAACCTGCTTCTCGCTGGCCTGAGGGAGGAGACACCCGTGAACGCCGTGGATCTGCCGCCTCYGTCCCGCCGCGGGGGCTGCTCTGACCTCCCGGGGTTGCACTGACGGGCGGCAAGRGCATCCGCTCGTGTTAGTAAAGCCCATGCTGGAAAGGTGAATGGCAGGCATCTAAAAGAGTTTGCAAGCAAAAGCGCAAAATGCTCTTTGAAGGTTGGTATAAGTGTCTGAAAAACTCTTCTCTATGCCCAGCTTTGCTTGCAGCTGCGCTCCCATCGCATCATTGCATGCATGCCATGCTCCTGCATGCACCTATCACACGTTCCTGCGTGCACCTGTGTGCAAGAGCACAGGGCAGCACCGTGCCAGGCGCCGCAGAGGGACACGCGCCAGAGCTGCTGCTCCTGCCTGGGAATGCCAAGAAARACCCTGCAATTCCCTAGGGCTTTGCAGGGAATGAACGATGCAAAGGAGCCTGTCTCTCTGCAACAAAAAGGACAAGTCTGGGGCAGCTTAAGGAAAAAAAGTGTGAAGCTGTTTTGAAAGAGAAAATCCTGCTGTGCCAAAGCAGGGAGACGGCGGGGAACACAGGAGCAGGCGCACAGCGCAGTGGGGTTTGGGCTGCAGCGCTGGCCGAGCTTCTCACTTCAGGAACAGGCTCTGCAAAACCATTTCGCCTCCATGAAACTCCAACTGCTTCTGGGATCTCCTGGGAATGCCCTCACAAGCCTTTGGTGTTGGAGAGAGGCTGCGAAGCCTCCATGGAGGCTGGCACGCTGGTGCTACCTCCAAGGAGGTGGCATCGCAGCAAAATACATGCACTTTTCCCTGTTCCTTCCCACTGTTTCTGCCAACAGCAACTCAAACCTCCACAGCTTCTTAACACACAGCATCTGGCGCACACATAACATACTTTAAAATAACTTTCTAGGTATTTTTACCATGTTTACTGTAACGGAATATTAATTCCTGGACTCCCAAACTCATGTGGTGCCCAAAAGGAGCGCGCTGTATCTTGGGAGGGAAGAACCCACACTAACTCCTGCTCTATCAAGTTTCATAAAACATAACAGAACAATACAAGAGGAAACCTCCTAAGGGCATCTGACCCCAAGAAAACACAGCTTTCTCTAAAACAAACTTCAACTTACGCAACTTCTGTTTAAAACTCGTCTGCTGCCACATGGTTATTCTCAAAATTGGTTATTTACAAGAAGGTTGTAAATGTGATTAATTCATTGCAGAATGACTCGGAAAAGTTCAACGAGAGTGCCTGCTGTAACGTCACATTTGTCTCCAGGTCAGGCAAGCCGACTAATTTCTCCGAACTCCAAAGAATTTAGAAGTTATCCAAACAAGACAACTAGCTCTTGTATTTGCCTACTTCCATTTTTAAAAAAACAACATTAACGTCTCCATGTCTCCACTGATCGSAGCATTAATTGCTCTTTGTTCTGACCTCTCCCTGCCCTCCCCTTTTGCTGCTTGCATTGCCCCACAACCCTTTCTTGCTATTTATGATGAAGCAAGAGTTAAAAAACGAGGGCAGCTTCGGGGCTGAGCACAAAAGGCAGCCGAGCCACGTTGCTCCAGTGAAAACCTCCTTTGCAAGCGGGGCAGATCCAAGCCCAAGAGAGCAAGCTTGGATGAGAAGATACTAAAACGAAAGTTCGCTCTGTTTTTCAAGAAATCTGTCCCATTTCTGAAGCCTCCTGTGCTGCTGATCTGTGGATTCCCATATACCATGAGTGAGACACGTTTGGGTCTCAACAGGCAGGGCACTGTTGAGAAATGAGAGGGCCAAGCAGAGCATGGCGTGTAAAAAGCAAATGCAAAACATTTGTGGCTTCGGTATAATGGCTGTTCTCTGGCACAACATGCAAACAGGAAAGGCAAATGATAATTGATGCAAAAACATGACAAAGACGACACAGGGTCCGGGAATTCTGTGTTAGGCAAATGTGATTCACAGAGCTCACATCAAGGCAATGTAATCCTGGCTGTTTGGAAACCTGACTCTGGGCCTTTGATGGGCATGTTGTTTAAATCCCCAGGGGCTGGTGTGCATTTCAAGCATTATTATAAATAACATCCACTCTTTGGAACCCAAGAAGAGCTTTGGTTGCACTTTGAAACACTTGTGTGAGAATGGCCTCATCAGTCATTTTTTCCATTTCATCCCTAGGCCGCATGTGTTTTTTGCTTATGAAGCAGCGTTGCCTTGTTTTGCAGCCTGGAAGAGCTGTTCCAAGAATGCCATTTGTTTCTTCTTTTCCACAAGAGTTTCACTCCAGGCTTTGTTCTTCTCCAAGAATCTACCTCTTGCCCCATCTTTCTTGGTCAGTGAGCTACACAGAGTAACCCAGACAGATGCTGAGYTGGAGCTTCCACAGCTGAGATAACCCAGCTGCACAAGCCCATTCCCCAGGCAGCACGCACTGCTGTCCTTGGGATGAGGCAGGTCGGGGCACCCATCTTTAGCTATGCTAGAAACTTTCCAATARAAGTTGCTTACAGCCATCTGGGAATGTATGCTAAAAGAGGAATCTTTTCCAAACGGTGCATTGGTCCAAAATGGCTCTTTAAGCCTAACTCTGGTTACCCTGATTACATCTGTCCAAAGGGGGAGACTCCAGGCTGATCTGACATCTGGGTATTGAGGCACACAAAATCCTTCAATATGTGAGCACTGTGCAACCCTCCAAAGAAACTGTACAACGGTACAAGGACCCTTGTGAAAGTGAGATAAAGCAACACAGCATGCTTTGTTTTGCTTTTTAGGGCAAGGTTATCTAAAAAGGAAACTACTAAGAGGGGCTGTAAAGAAAGAAACCAACTGGAAACCATTCTGGAAGGGCACCTGGAAGGTAAATGACACACAATTCCCCAGGGATTTACACTGCTCTGTACATGGTGAGGAAGCCCTGRGCGAGCTGCTTGCATCGCTGCCAGACACTTCACGCCTACGCCAGGTGAAACCCAGGAGATTTCAGAGATGCCCCTTCCCCTAGGACGCTCCCCAATGCTGCTGCATTCCCGAAGGGAGCCCTCCCGGTGGGGCTGGGCCAGACCTGAATGAGGTGGGCGGCGCTCTCGGGGCTGCCGTAGCGGTGGTCGTGCCCGTTGATGGCCAGGACGCGGTCGTTCTCCTGCAGCTGCCCGTCGCGGGCGGCCACCCCTCCTTCCAGCAGGTTGAACACGAAGACGCCCGGCTCGTCCGCCCTGCGCACCAGCTTTATGCCCAGCTGCTCGTCCGGGCTGCTCTTGGTGAGGACCACGTGGAAGCTGTCGTCGCGGGCGCCCGCGGGGAGGCCGCCGCCGCGGCAGCGGTACCGCTGCTCRCGCAGCACCGTGAGCCGCAGCACGTGGCAGGGCTGCCGCAGCACCGACAGCGCGTAGTTGTGAGGCACGTTTTTGATGTCCAGGCCGTTCACCTGGAAGAGAGAATGGCCGAGGTTGGAAGGGACCCCTGGAGATCATCTAGTCCAACCCCCTGCTCCAGCAGGSACACCCAGAGCAYGGGGCACAGGGCGGCATCCAGGCGGGTTTGAAGACCTCCAGAGAAGGAGACTCCACAGCCTCCCCGGGCAGCCTGTGCCAGGGCTCCGTCACCCTCCCAGGGAAGTAGTTCTGTCAAAGGGAACTTCTTTGAAAGAGAGATGAGCATCAGCAGCACCAAGAGCTCCTCTCCTTTGCTCAAGGCGCCTCGGCTATTTGCACAACGTGCAAACAGACACTTAGGGCCTTCCCTACTCCTTCTCCCTGACAGAATCCAGATATAACTGTTATCCTTCAGCTTTATTGCTGCTCTTCCCCGAGCTCCAATAGCCTTTCATTCATCCTGGTCTTATTCCACTAGCTTCTCATTGTCTGTCATCTCACTGGCCTTTCCTTTCACTCCCACTGCATTTCTTGTTCCTCTGCTTCCTTCTCTCCTGACTGTTGTAGTTAAAGTTAACAAAAAAAGAAAAGAAAAAAAGAAGTTGTAAAGCTAATGAAAAGTCATGTCAAACTAACCTCCAGCTGAAGTGGAGAGGAGAGCCTCGAGTTGGAAGTTCAAAGCCCTGCATGTTTATCTAGCATTATATTCAATACCTCACCAGAGAATCAGGCTTTTTAGGCTCCTCAGTGTTTCTCAAGTAACATTTACTGCAGAAGACTATAAAACAGCATAACTGACCCTTCTTTAATTTGACTGCCAAAGAGGAAAGCAGAACTTGCTGCTAGTCCTGCCTGCTGCATGCGCAGGGCTGACCAGGCACCATGTTCTCCTACTGCTAAACCAAAACCAGTTGTGAGGCTGCAATACRTTGCTGGAAACCCTGAACCAGACAGCTAATCCCCATGCAGTCTGACACTGCACAAGCCCAACCAGTTGAGCACTGCGAAAGGCTGTGCTGGGCCAGCTCACATTTTTTGCTCACTGGTTTTGCTCTACCCAGGACTGAAGYCACTGATAAAATTTTGCCTCTTTGCCAGATTCCATGCTGATAGGGCAGCTGAGAATRCAGGAGTCATTCAAAAGCGTCTGCTCAGGCTGTTGCTTGCAAGAAACATGATTTTTAAGCATCTGGCCTAAATATTGTTTGTGTGATATGCATTTCTATAGAAACAAACACTCATGAAACCCAAAACAGACAGCRTCTCATGCAGCCCATGCTGAACATACTGCACGTGGGAGCTGGATGCAGAAAGGACTTAGCCCTGGTGAGAGCCCCATCCTGATGCAAGGGGGTTTAGGCAACGGGAAGCGCCCTAAGTGAGATATTAGCCCACTACGCACTGGTAACAAACAGGACAAAAAGCCCAGTCCCTGCCTTCAGGACCAACTTCTGCAGGGCCTTTTGCAGACTGACCCTTCCCCTTCTTTCCTTCACGCTGGCTCTCCTCGCTCTCCGTGCCATTTCCAAGACGGCCCTCATGTCTCAGAGCCTTTCTGGACGAGCAGCAGAGCCGTGTTCCACCTGGCCACCTCACAGAACCCGGCTCAAGCCTCAGCAGAGCTACTGGCATCAGAAACTAACACCCTATACTAGTAATAATACCAATACTAGTAACTAATAGTAGCAACACCAGCGCTGCACTGCATCTCAGGGAGGCCCAATACTGAGTAGTGGGCCTCAAACACAGCTGAACGGAGTCCCGACAGCACACAGCGCAATCAATCTCTTTCTCAGTATTATTCCATCCACACAAACAATCATAGAATCATAGGATGTTTAAGGTTGGAAGGGACCTCAGAGGTCATCCAGTCCAACCCCCCTACACAGGCACAGTCACCTAGAGCACGGGGCACAGGGCTGCATCCAAGTGGGTTTTAAAGATCTTGAAAGAAGGAGACTCCACAACCTCTCTGGGCAGCCTGTWCCAATGCAATCTCATCCCTTCCATCTCCTTGCACTGCCTTCCTCTTAGTTAGGACACTTCTGTTTTACCTTCCACCCCGGCAGTACTGTACCTTCAGTATCATGTCTCCAGGCAGCAATCTTCCATCTCTGGCGATCACCCCATCCCGATAAATGTGCTGAATGATAATGTGACCCAAGGGAGTCTCGCTGCCTCCCACGATCCTAATGGCCAGGCTTTCATTGGGGTCAGTACGGTTGATCTTAATGCAGGTAACTTCCCCATCCGGAATCAGGTGATACAACCTGGGGAAACCTGGAAATGCACATTGTAAGGTGTTTACTCGAAACGACGGCTTCACAGCATCACAACATGCACCATGCAACTTTGAGTATCTGCCAGTTATCCAAAGTAGGTTTTATCCATRGATGTGGTTTATACTAAGCCAGAATGTGGCCAGTGGAGGACCAGACCGGGGTTCTTAACTAATGCAGCCCCGTGCTCCGGCAGCCGCTGCTGCGATGGGACGCASGGTCTTTCCCACAGGCAGCTTCCCTGGCTGGACTCAACAGTTATCACCCTGTTCTCCTCCAGCTTTGGTGCCAGAGCAGATGGACACTCGGCTTGTGATGTCCAAGGAAGCATATCTTTACCTCCAACTAAAAGAAAGGAAAGTTCTCTTGGACTACCCCAAGAAAATGGTATTTTCCCTATCAGGCCGCAGCCCTTTCAGGACTGCTTGAGCCCTGTGAAGCAGGAATAACTGGCTTTTACTGCAAAGTGTCTGGATTAAAATGTCAGTATCTGCAAGGTGCCTGGAGGGAGAGGAAAGTTCAAAGAAGATCTGCATTAGACAAATTCTCTTCCAAGTTTCAAAGTAGTAGATAAACACAAGCAAAGCTACCGCTGCTGACAAACCAACTCTACCAGCTCTRAGAGAGGCCAATTCCACAACCTGATTGAGAAAACCAAGTTTAAATGAACACACATCTGCTACCACTGATATAAAAGGTGATATTTCCCCACTATTGTCCACAGCTTGGAGAAGTAAAACKGCAGACCTTTAGCCTTGAATAAATACAACTAGACTTCAGTGTGGCTGAATGGTATTTTCTCCTCTCTGTAAAAAACAGCAGGTCATTATTCTTGGTAGGGATTTCAGTTCAGCCACGGGAGCTGAGTGTGCCAAATCCAAAGTGTTTGAACAGTCCCACTGCAGCTGTGGGTCTGGTCCTGCGCTTAAACCAGACACCTGCAAACTTCACTGAACCGGGTTCCTCGCGCACAGAGAACGAGCAGCCTGGCTTTTAGCAACAGGCAATTTATTTGGAGGAAAAAGGGCATTTTCCCCGTGTGCTTTATGGACAGCTCGGCAGAAGGAGCCGCTGGGACTGCTTGGCTGTCTAGGAAAGACCCACTGGCCCTGCCAACCCGAGCATGGGGCAGAGGCAGCAACGGTGCATGGGCTCCTTCTATTCATTCATTAATACCCCGGAGAGAAGCAATCTCTTCCCAACTCCACTCTTCAACTAACATGTTTGTTTTCACAGCATGTCTAATTTCTTTCCTTCCAGGGCAATTCGTCTCCAAATTCAAAGTCCAAGTAAAAGCAGCAGCGAGTTATCTAGCACAGGTGTAACTGCCTTTAACTGTCTCCAATTCCCACAGATAAGAGAAAGCTTTTGAATTTTTGATACCAGAGTCCAGGGCAAAGTCTATGTGAAAACCTGTAAGTAGAAAAAGTGCTAATATTTTGTTCAATAACTTATTTTAGAAATGAAAGTACAGGGTTTGCTATCAAAGAATGGCAAAATGTTACATGAAAATTAATTAATAAAGCATATCTGAGAGAGCGCAATATTTCCTATTACATGGGTAGCAAGTGACAAACAAGGAAGCCACCAGAAAGTTCTGGGAGAAGAAAAGAAGRAAAGAAAGAAAAGAGAAATAATTAAGAAACACTTTGGTGCAGCCCTTACCACTTCTTGGATCTTCGGGGCGGGAAGCTGTCTTCCTTCACRTCTGTAAAAAGCACCTACCAGCAGCACAGACTTGGACTTTATAGTTTCACACAGAGTTGACAGGTAACAAAAATCTATCCAGATAATTACACAGCCTGATGTGCAAGGGTTTGTTAATCCTGTTCTCCTGCAGCAGCAGTTTCACCTCCTACTCCCTGCAGTTTCACACATCTCTTCAGTGTCATGGGAGTGGGATGTGCACGATTTCCCTTCCACACTCCTACTTTCTGAATGTTTTTTGCCCACTTTGTTTGATCCTGTCTAGCCCGAAGGTGGGATTCACACCACCTAAATGCAGCCCCTCACCCAGACATCTCTTTTGCTGATCTACTTGCTCTAGTTTCCTTTATAGCCCTTGGGCACCGGGAGAGCGTGATGCAGCCCAGGCTGCTGCTAAATCACCCTTGGAGGTGCAAAGCTCTCTCTGCTTCACCCTAAGCTCTCCACTCCTCTGTACAAAAAGGAAACGCCAATTAACTCGGTTATCTCCAAGTGCTCAAGGGGAGATGATTCAGAAACTTCTCAAAAATCCCCAGAAGCCTGATACCTGCATCMGAATAAATACACCTGTTTTACACTCTCCCTGTGGATATAAGGGAATAAATATGTGGAAAGAATGCAAATCATAATCTGCATCCCCCTTATCCTAAATAATCATTATTCTCTGCATAGAAATGGCATAAATAAATTTCTTGGTAGATCTGCAAACTACCAAAGTGCTCTAACAGCAAAAGTGCTCGAACTTCCCATTGTAGGATGATTTACCTTGTGTCCCAAAAAACAATGTCTCATTCCTCAAGCTTTTCCTAAAGAAAAGTTCCCACTTTTCTTGACAATGGCAACCTCTCCTGCTATTTCCACCTGCAATTATCCCAGAACAAGATTAGAGCAGAGCAGCAGTGAACAAGTCCCCACAGTTACATCGGGTCCTTTCTTTGCTCCTCGACCGGCGCCTGACCTGCTTTATTAAGTTCTGCAGTAGCACCTGGCTTGCTTTCAACATCACTTCATGATGATTCTTTAGAAGTTGCTTTAATACCCGATTTGCTTCTCAAGRGTGCAGTCAGCAAGCAAAAACAAATGTCTTCCCAAGACACTGCTTTTTCTTGCCCTTGTGCAAGTCAGTAGGTTTCTCTTTTCTATTCAGCAGCATGTACTGCTTCACCTCCTGGCTGCAGTTGGTTTCCTTGGCTCTTTACAAAACAGAACTCGCAAGTTGCACCGTTTTCTTCTCACTTGTGCCAAACAACAACTGATGATCTGTTAGTTTCTATCTTCATTAAAACCTTTCCTCTTAATATTTCATATTTTCATGCGAAGTTTGCATCATCAGCAACTAACACTGTAGTAAGCTAAAGGCAAATATCTGTTTTGAGAAAATAGCCTTTACATTCTGATAGCCCTTAGACTCTTAGTTAGTACTCTCCATTTGCTTTGACCAGGTTTTCCAGAGCAGGAAAACCCTGGAATAGTGCGTACCTTTCTTTACCATTTTATCTTTCCAGGCCTTATATATCGAAGAGCTGCTGAATCTAGAAAGAAGTGAACTTTCTGTCTTGTTTTTGATGATTCTTGCAGATTTTCCCACAGACTGYTGTGTTTTTGCCATCGGGAGTGGTATGGTGCATTCTGAATCTGTCAATAATAATAAAATGTCATCTGCATTCAGGTAGATCGTGCGGTTTTCCTTCAAGCAATCTTTTCCTTATTAGTGTGCCATTTTATTGGTATTTTTACACACCCCATTACAGTTATAAGTAACATAGGAGAGGATAGATTTACACAGCAAACTCTGCTCATCTGGTAGGACGTAGGCGTATGGAGCATTCATGACACATTAGCCACAAGACCGCAATATGAAATTCTGTAAGTGCTTAGTATTTTATCCCCATAGTTTATATTACTTAATGCTAGTGTTCCTCCAAGTGCTCAGGTTTCAACCACTTTGTGTGCACCCTGTGTGCTTGCTGAAAGTGCTGCCATCACAGTAACTTCTGCCTTCATTCCCAGGACCCAGCRTGACAAAGCTCTGTGCAACATTTGCTGTGCTGCCCGAGTCCTGCTTGATGAAAGGTGACTGTAAACAGAATTTGCATCCCAGACTGCAAGTCCTAATTCAGCCCCGGGGGCCTGACTCATGGGAGTTGCCAGCTGAAGTCAGGGAAACTTTGCGTGACTGAAGCCCACTCCCATCAATAAGGTTTTCTGCAGGGAGCCCACTCGTGTTTCCTGGCACCTGCTTTCCAGGTTTGGAAAAAGCTTGCRTAGCCCATTCCCAAAAAATAGGTGTCTTTCATTGCCACATGCCAATGTGGCAGTTGGTTTTGCACATCTTCCCTTGCAAATAACTGTCATTTAGTGTTTGACTCTCCCAGTGCACTGCCATCATCCTGCAAGCAGCAGCGYTGGATTCACTTCTTTCCTTTGATTCTCCAGGGATGTTGGTCCAATTCAGGGCGATGGTAGAAGACCTAGCCCTAATGTCTTTCCTCGCTTCAGGACATTCTTCTACCAAAGGAGTCTCAAAAGAACTAAAATTAAACTACTGTAGGGTCAAATGCATCCCAATGCTACAGAGCCCATCTCTTTATTTTTACTTATTTTTTTCTTCTTCCCTCTAGAAGTCTTTTGCCTTGCTCATCATCCTAGAACAGAGTGTTTTGAGCCACTTCTGTAAATCTTCCACCAGCTGTTTTGGGAAATCAACCAAATCTGAAGGGGGAAAAACAGGGGTGTGGGTGTGATGCCTGCAGGTGCAGCCCTCCTGAGCTGAACGCTGGGCTGCTGCTGCCTCGTCTTGGGGCTCTRTAAGCCACTTACTTTCTGTACATAAAAGATTTTATAGCTATACAGCGGTTAAAAAAAGGCACTAATATCTTCCCAAAGCCATCTGTATTTCACTTACCTTCTATTCTTCATTTACTTTTCCTCAACACAGAAGTATTTTTTGTGTATTCATATCTACATGCATGTGTATATGAGTGCATATATATATATATATGTAACAGGAATCAGACTGAACAGAAGGAGTGCAATACACCCGCACAACAGGAGAGTTTGTTGCATGTTCCTGCCAAGGCTTCCTTGGTTTCAACTGCTGCAAAGCAGGAACAGATGGAAGTGCTGCAGCAACCAGGATGCTAAGAAGAAGGAATTTCACTTTGAACAATATTTGACATCCTCAAGCAATCATAAATTCAATTTAACTTGACAATGGCTTAACTGCAAAAAGGAGCTGATGAACACTTCTGTAAACCAGCAGGACGGTTCCTGCCCACTGTAAAGCTGCAGAAAGGGAATTTGGCAATTGCTTCCCTGATTTCTGTCCTCCCAACGTGCTAGACAGTTCACAGTGTGCATCTACAGATCAGGCTGAGCAGGAGCACAAGTGCAGTCTTTCTTGGAAGCAAATTTCAAGAGCGTGATGCCAATCTGAGGGCGCACAGGAGCAGTCCTTGCTCAGGGTTATTTTACCATTTGAGTAGCCTGTCAACATCCTAAATGCTCCACGCTGGAAGGAGGGTCCTGGCGCCTTCCCTCGCCTCGGAGGTTGAAACTGTCGCTTTTAAGCTGCCCTAACTTTTACTATTTATATTTCTATACATAGAAGTATCTCTATCCATTCATTAGCTTGGATGTCATGCTACAGACACATCCTTTTTTGCCTGTTACAGTGGTTTAGCAAATTAAGACAGGGGTTCCAAATGGAAATGGTGAAGTGATCTTCACAGTGCAGAACTGCTTCCAGGTATTAGACAGTATAAGACTGTAACTATTCCTTCACTGCAATAACACTAGAGACACATTTCCCATCACATATCATATTTTTCAGTGTCCCTGAATTGCAAAAGTTTCTCAAAATTCAAGCTAGCACTGCTGGGAGTTACTTGCTTGCATTTTTTAAAGAGCAAATTCCAGAGCAGTGTAATCAAAGTGCATTCCTTGCATGTGTAATTAATGCAATAACTTGGGCACTGAGCTTCTGTGAGCTCATGCATAAGGGTAACTGCTCATTAAGTAATTACATGCCTACCTGATTTTTTCCAGGGCAGTAAATATATTTGGAAGTCCCGGGCATGCTTGATGCACAAGAATTAAATCACAAGCAGAATGGAGCACAGAAGGACAAACTTGTCAGAGAGATTGCCACCTCAAAGTCCAACTGTGCATCCTTTAAAAAAAGGAGCCAACAGTGCTTGCTGTTCTACTAGAAATGTATCACTCTGATACCAGCATTTCCACAGCTGGTCATATTTTAAAAGTGATGCAACATGAAAACTTTTCTTTAGTGAAAAGAGCAGTGTCATCTTCATGTCTACTTCTGCTGCTGTCTGCGCTACACTGCAGGTGCCTGGGTAGGTATCACTGGCATCCAAATCATCCTCACAGTGTTCTGGGTGTGAACAACTACAGATCTTCAGTGAACTATCAGTAATGTCATCTAAAAGCTTAAGTAGAAATTGGTCATAAAAATTTCYATGGTTAAGCCAGAACAATATCGGCTTGACATATTCCAAATTTTACTCCAGCTGAAGAAGGACAAGCTCTTGCTTATGATGGATTGAGCAGCTGCTAGGAAATGAGAAACATACCCATCTGCTCAAGGAGGGCTGCAGACTTCTCGTTTGCGATGTTTTACTTGGGAAAAAAATAAAACATTTGTGGCAGTGAAGTTATTAAAGGTGTTTCCAAGGCCAAGGAGCAGAACCATCTTCATTTTACATAAATAAAGATTGTAGATTTTGTATTATCTGATTTTATGTTGGCTACATTGGCAAGTATCTGGACTAGGAGAGTAAGTATCAAAAATACAGTGACCTAGTGGGAACCTAGAAGTTGTTCCCTTGCAGCTAATGCAGAAGAGCTTTGAACACCATTTTGTGATGCACCACGCTGAGTTTAATCACTGAGCACGGTGAATTTGGCCATATTTTGTCCTTATTTTGCATGGGTTGCAATAATAACATGAAATATAAAGCATAGGGAATTGGAATCCCCTTCTTCTTAAAGCATTCACCCTGGACATCTGATTTGAGAAGGGGGTGCTGAGGCATCACACAGAGGATAATCAGCTTGATTAAAGATGATTCTCCCTCAATCATCACTTCCTCTGGATGCACGAATGCCAACGTTGGCACAGCAATTACGCTCTAAGGCAATTAATAACATTTGCTCAGTGCTTGGAGAATGCCAAATGTTAAGTGTTACTGCCTGCCAGACCCCTCTGCCTTGACACGCAGCAGGCGAAGTCACCTCCTCTCCCTGCTTAAGGGCAGGTTGCTCTTGCTTCAGCACCTGCCCGGCCGAGTCAGTACAGACCTGGCACCAAGGATCCCCGGCAAGGGCTGCAATAACGGCATTTTTCCTATACTTTCTTTCCTTTTTATACTATTTCCTCCTAGGGAATCTCTGCTGCTTTATAAACATGAGTAAAACCTCATGAAATTCTTATAACGTATGATCCCTGTTCTCTGCCTGCTTTGAGGGGAAACCAGACACAGGCCAGCGAGGCATCTTGAGCCCAACGAGAGAGAAATGAACGACAGCTTCAGTAACAAGTCCCAGACGCGCCGGTCCCGGGCGTCAGATCTCGGGTCTGTTACCAGCACACCCCTACGTGAGGTCCCACACGTCCCAGCAATCTTCTCCGCTGTCATCCCCTACTACTTTTTTTTTTATATAAAGGGGAAAATAATGTAGGTTTTTTTTTTTTAATCACACGCACTGCACCACATCAAAGGAATGTCAATCGTGGACCCCACGTTCCCATATGGATGGGGTCTCCTAGCCCGCTGTAAGTGATAACACAAGGAGAACAAAGTGTTACCTTCCTCTCCGGCAACTGAATTTCCAAGAGCCTCCCTTTCCCGGTCAGCCGGGTTGGAAACGGCGCTCCCACTTTTTGTCCTTCGGAGCACGCTGAACGCCTTGTTTATCTTTTTAAAAGATCTGCTTCTTATCGTGGAGCGTTCGAAGTGTCGAGCTGTGGCAAAAGAGGGGAAGAAAATCAACACAATGTAGTGGTTTGGGCACCTCATTCCTCCTCCCATAGGCACAGGACAGGCCAGGGCAGCAAGAGCAAGGTCCTTGCACGCAACTCCAGCTCCAGCGTCGCACCCACCTGAACCCTGCTTCTGCCTCACACCCTAAAATTGCCACCTCCCCTGTCCTTTTCACCAGTCACCCACACAAATCTGCAGTTGCAAGTGTGGCAACCGGTGGGCAGAATAAGCCATAGGCCTGGCAGAAATGGCAGCGATCCCAGAAAAAATGCCTATGAAAGGAAGCAGCGCTACCCCACACGCAAGTTGTGCACATTCAGCAAGAGGAGAAGGGCTGGAGGTCTGCTAATAGCTGCCTGGAGTGGAAAAATACCACATTGTCCCAAACTCAGTAATGTTTCTAAAGGGTCCAGCAACAGCCGAGAGTTTCAGGCCTAAAACGAAAGATTATCCAGATGGAAGGGACCAACCAAGCCATATCATCTGACTCGGGTAAGACAATACCAAAACATTACAGCAGTTTCAGAATATGTCACTACCCTTCCATCCTGCTGTGGGTATCTTTCTGGATATTATGGCTCTGTGTCTGAGCACTGCATGCTGGCCAAACATTGCAATCTAATACTACTATGTTCCCTCAAACCAGGCTGTGGCCTCAAAACTCAGTAAAACCAACAGGATTTACCTCCTTTCTGGTGTTCCTCCTGCCTCCCTGGCTTGCCCCATGCTCACAAAAAGCTCATTTTCTTGAGCTCTTGAAAATGAGCTCTTAGAAAATGAGCTTGCTCATTTCTAAACTCTCTTCAGCTCCTTGTCCGTTCTCCCAACACGCAGTTGGAGTAACACAAGGTGGGATACTCATTTTGGCTTCAGGCTCCTCTGATACAAGTTGTGGCCTCCCTCTTCATGCTTCCTGGGTCAGTTTTTGGCCAGGTGACACACGTGAGTTATGGCCCTCACGAGAGCTCTGTGCCATGACACGGGGCAAAAAGTGAAGGCCAAAACTTCTTGACCGTGAGGGTGACAGAGCCCTGGCACAGGCTGCCCAGAGAGGTTGTGGAGATATTCAGAGCCCGCTTGGATGCAGCCCTGTGCCATGTGCTCTGGGTGACCCTGTGTGTGCAGGGGCGGGTTGGAGTAGATGATCTCTAGAGGTCTCTTCCAACCTTAAGCATTCTGTAATTCTGTGACTTCCYCCTGTCAYGTGCTATTGACTGGAGTTACTTCAGCAGGACAAACTCCTCAGTTTCACATGYTCAGGGCAAAGCACCTCGAGCCGCCCGGGCATCTCTTCAGGCTCGTTTCCCTGCAAACAGCCTCCAACTACCAAGCCGAGACCGCAGCTGGCTCCYGGCAGGCGCCATGGCCATGGCACAGCTGCAGCCTCTCCCCACACATCCCACGTGCCGGTCGCTTCCAGCCGAGCTCCCCACCCAAACACCCTCTCCCCTGTGCGGGCAGGGCTGCGGGCAGCCCCCGCGCTCACCTCTGTGGCGGCCGCCGCGCAGCGGGTCGGCGGTGGCGCCCGCCGGGGCCTCCTCGGCGCTGGGGCTGAAGGCCGGGTTCACCAGGCCCGGCTCGTCCGTCATGAGCGCGATGGCGGCGGCCGCCGAGAGCTCGGGGCCTAGCGCTGCCACGGCCAGGCCGCCGTCCGGCGAGCAGTCCTGCGAGCGCCTCTTCCGCTCCTTGCCCAGCCCGTAGTGGGAYGCTCCTTTGCACCTAGGGAAAAGGGAGGCAGGGTAACGAGGCGCGGGGAGCGCGGCCTGCCCAGGCGGGAAGGCTCAGGACCACCCAGCAGCACAGCCCGGGGCCGAGGGAACGGATGACAAAGTGTGGGAGCGCAGTGGAAAGCACCAGTGTGGTGCGTTACACAGACTCAAAAAGGTCTCCCAAATTAGCTATAATTTTACTCAAAAAGACTATTGTTGGCCAAGGGAGCCGCAGTCTCATATGCAGCCTCACGTGTATAAACATACAGGGGATAGGGACAAACTCCTCTCCAGTGACAGGACAAGGAGTAATGGTGCAAAAGGGAACACAGGAAGTTTAAGGTTGGAAGGGACCTCCAGACATCATCTAGTAAATCATCTTCATCCCCATGTGAGGAAGAACTACTTTCGTGTGAGGGTGACAGAGCCCTGGCACAGGCTGCTCAGGGAGGCTGTGGAGTCTCCTTCTCTGGAGGTCTTCAAAMCYACCTGGATGCCGCCCTGTGTCCCGTGCTCTAGGTGTCCCTGCTGGAGCAGGGGGTTGGGCTGGATGATCTCTAGAGGTTCCCTCCAACCTCAACGAGTCTGTGTTTCTGTGTATCAGCAGTTACTGAGGAGCCCAAGGAGCAGCACCACTTCTGCCCGGCGCTCCAGCTGTTATAACTTCATTCACTCCTCTAAGAAAACCAATCTGGCCTTCAGCAGTAATCTAGTAGGCCTGGCCTACTTACTGCTACTCTCATCTCTGTCTGCACGGCAAAGGCTAACTGATGACTTGCCTAAAAATGCCCGGTGGGAGGAATTGACAGAAATAGCTGCCCAACCCCTTGGGGACAGCCAGCTCTCTGTAACACACGGCGTGCACAACARGCAGTGCAAAATGCCCGGAGCACACGGCGCTCGCCAGGCGAGGGCCGCGGGACCCTGCGCAGAGGCTTTGCAAGGCAGTCATCTCTGAAAGCAATTCCTGGGACAGAATGAAGAAAGGAGGATGAGGCTCAGAGTTTTCCGTGTCAGCTTCAGAGCAGTGATTTCATTTCTCTGAGCGTTACTTTTTCATGAGAAAGAAAATGAATTGAAAACGTTTTTAGCACTAAAATAAGTCCTTGCATCGCTTATCTGATGCTGATTTTGACAACTTCCTTCTTAAAAATGAAAAAAAGAAACAAACYCTTCATGCTGATGCAATTCTGCAAGCGTTTTGTACACACTTTAAGGTCTCTGAAATTTTCACTAGGAAAAGGGAATGTCCTCAAAGTAAATAAGCAGACATTCCTTTGTGGAACAGAAGGCTGGTCACCTAATTCAAAGCACCACCAAAAAGGCATTTGGGCTGCTTAATCCAACACCAATGGTATCAAATGGAAGGGAGGAGCCCTCCTGTCTCCACTGCATAAGGCAGCTCCCTAGATCCTCATTTGGCTCCTGGGAATGGGATGTCCTCCAGCATCCCGGCGCTGGGTGGGATCCTGTCCTTTTTAATCACAGGGAGCAGAACCACAAAGGTCCCTCTTGCTGCCTRCACAGAGTTCTCCCACACAGCATTTTGGGAGCCCTTGTTCTCAACACCCTGGACGTCTGTCAGAGAATTTGCAACGGAGCCACATCTACTAACCAAGTCTGTGAAACTCCACAAAATTCTTAAACATAGTTTAAAAAGCCACAGCAACAAAACATACATGAGACAATGACTTTGTGGTGAATTGTTTGCTCTCCTCAAAAGACACTCTGTGCGTTACAAAGATGTGTACAGATTCAATAATCAGACACAATAATGGGAAGATTATAACTGAAAAGCCTGAGTGGGTGTTGATGACATACCCTTATTTATTAGAAAAGAGCAGTATTGGGGTACTCTTTTTTTTTTTTTTTTAAATTGCTAGTGAAATGTCAGTAGTAGATATCAGGGAAGCTGTCTTGTAAACGGGTCCTCCAAAGGCTTCATACTGTCCATTTTGGTGGACAGCACAAAGCCTGAGAGGCAAATCACAAGGGGCTCTGCCCAGAGATTTCCACCTACACAGGCTGAGCTGCTGCTCGGTGCTCGTCCGTGCTCCTGCGCTTGACACTTTTAAGCAAATTCTCAAGTCTCTGCTGCTGAATTCACTTCAGACATCCAGCTAATGAGATCAGCCCAACTGCAACACAGCTGCTTTGAATGCAAAGAGGGATGACAGCGTCTGAGATGTGGCTTATTGGAGAAGACAAGTTATCGTGATATAAGGCAAAAAAGCATCTCTTTCTAATTCTGCCAGGAATAGTTAAAAGAGAGGCAAAGCTCTTCAAGTACAAGCACTGCATCGATTTCCTAAGTAACTGTGGCAGGCATGCATGAACAAGATGCAAGCCGTCCTTCCTCAGACTAACACAGCATCCTTGAAGAAGCAAAAAAAAAACCCTAGCAGCTCCCTAATGTTGTAATAAAATCTGCACCAGGACCCCTTCACTTTCATTGTTTTCCTGGTGCTGACACTGCTGCGATAACAGAAAACAGAGAGAGACAACTGTCTAAGTGGAATCATACTTATAGCGTCCCAGCTCTGCTTTTCCATATGGTTGGATTTGGCTCCCAGAAAAGCGAGATCCATAAAACAGCTCCATGCCAGTGTTAATTCTCTCTCTCGCGGTGATTATTAATCGGCTGCCTGATTTACAGCTGGGAGGGGAGAGGGGCGGTGGCCAGCACGGGGTACCTGGCTAGCCCTGGCCAGGGGCAGGGTAGGTATCGGCCAGCCACGCAGCAGAGCCGCGGGCCAAGGGGACCCGTGGGTTTATGTTCCTTCTCTGGGCAGCAGGTCCTTTGTGCTGCTCTAGGCACGGGAACAACTCGAAGGCCGGAACAAAAAGAGGCTAAAAAAGAGACAAGATTCTTTGCTGAAGTTCAGTGTTGAGCTCACGCCATGGAGCTCATTCCTGAGGACGCTGCTGAGATCCTGCCACTAAAACAGCGTTCCTAGGTGCAATAAGCTTAGTGCTTCGCCTAGGCGAGGCCTTGCTCCCAGTGCTGCAGCACACACAGCCCTTGCCCTTCATGTGATGCAGCCTCCAGCAGCAGCACGTCTCAGGTGCCAGAGCAAGGAGATCCAAAACCCGACAGCTGCTTCAAGTTGGTCCCACAGTTTGCAAAAACAAGCTTGGCGCAAACTCCAGSCCAAGAGAAACGTTTCTGCCTATTGGAAGCTCAAATGCAAACAGTGGTTCTGCAGCAGCGATGTGGTTTCCTGCAGTGTCCCTAATGCAGCAACCAGTGCAGTGAGTAAAGCCTGAAAGCAAAGCCGAGCTCAGAGGTTTCCATGGCYGGGCTGGCGCGGCAACAAACCAGAAAGGCAAAGCATAAACAGGGACAACTGCACTGATGCTCCACTTCACCTGCAGCTATCCAAATGAGCCATAATCGAAGCAAAAAGAAAAGAAAAAAAGTTGTGTTTGCAACATGCTTGCTTCTTCTCACGTGCCTGGCTTTCTGCTCTGGGTCACTTCATGGGTGGCACTGCCCAGGCCAGCAGCAGAAGGGACACGTTGTCCAAGGGCAGTACACAGAGCCCACGTGAATGCCGGAACGAAGATAACGGCGCGTCCCGCTGATCGGGCGCCTGAACCCCGAGCAGGGCAGGCCAGCGTCTTTCAGCCAGGCCCTCRCTGGAAGCAGTCCTGTCCCTGGGTTACTGGGGCTAGGGCAGGCTTAGATAAGCCAGGACCAGAGGCCCAAAGCCACCCAGCTTTGTCGGGTGACAGGGAAACATTGGCTGCCGACGCGGAGCAGAGCGGATAACTGAGTGCAGGCGGCCTCTCCTGTGTCGTGAGGGGCTCCCACCTTGCCCGAGGAAGGGGCAAAAGCAGCAGAGCAACCACAGGGACCCTCAGCCAAACCCCTCAATCCTAAACCTGGCAAACAGCAAGTGAATGGACTCAGCTCTCCAGCAGGGAACACGCTGGCTCTTCTGATCGGAATGCTGCCAACAGCTCAACAGGAGCCGCAGTAGAAAACAAGCGGGAGTTAGTTTGGCGCCTAACTCGAGCCAAGTCCCGCGTTAGGGATCGAAGCCAAAAGGCAGCGGATCCGCGGGCTCCCCTCCAGACGAGCCGCCCAGGTACTCAGGAGGCCAAGGGCGCCGATATCTTGAACAGAGGAGCTGACTCACGCTCTGCTGCCCGTCACACCCAGCCACGGCGTCTCGTCCGCTCTCCTCGGAGCCCGGCCCCACTGCCAAGTTGCTCCTTCGCTGCACATGAAAATCATCCCGGGAACGGAGCGCTTGGCAGCTCAATGGGGCAAATCAAAGGTTTTGCCTTGATGGTTCTGCGCTCTTGCAAAAATTAAGCACGGCATGAACCCAGAATATGAAAAGAATATATATATATATAAAAGCATTTGGATTTTTTTTTTTGACATATTTGCCTTTTTTGCTTTTTATAAAGGATTGTGTCATGCCAAGAACGCTCCTTGGGCTGCTGTGGGGCAGCTATGCCCAGGAAGGTCTTGTCTACCACTAATCTTCCTCAGTTTTCATACAGAAGGGGATGAGCAGTCAAAAAGCAGAGCTTAAACCCCTGGACTACAGATCCCAGTTGTCATGAGACTGCAAAAAACGACACATAAATGTGCAGCTCCTGGCAGGCTGTTTCCTGGGAGCACACGTGAGCTTCCTGCAGGCCCAGCAGCATCTCGGGGTGCTCRCTGCTGCTCCCCTGGGCACTCGGCATCCTGCCACTCATGTGCCTGGATATTCTCTGAGCATCTCCCTTACCACAGCGTCAGCCTCTTGCTGTCCTATGTGGAGGAAAAAAAGCTCATTTCTCACCCCACTCAAGTGGGAACTGGTGCCAGTTACTGCTGCTCTTTCCCTGGGAGATGCCCCGGTAGGGAAAGGGCTTTTAGAGTCGCCTGGGCCCCCCAGCAGGACCCTTGGGCCCCGCTGCCTCCGTGGGGTGACGGATCCGGCCCCATAAGCACCAGCTCGACCCCTTCAGCGCCCCGGCAAGGGCAGCACTGGGCGCGGGGGGCAGGAG